GTGGGAGAAGAGACTATTTCCGTTTTTGAGAGGGCACCATGAAGCGGCGCTTCGTCCAGCATTTCTAGTTTATAGCCTTCTAAGCAAGACCGACAGAATTTTCCTAGAAAAAACTTCACACATTCCTCATAAAATGCCTTAGAGTCCCTTTTTGCAAATATATTCTGTTAGATTGTTGAATAATTTGACAAAGTATGACGCTTATACACTACATCGAAATAATGTGAATAAGTGAAAAGGATGCTCCAATATTTTCTTGTATCACCTGCAGCGCTACATATGCATCACAATATTTTTATCACATTGCGATATAGCAGGATATGTCTTTACGACACATTATTCTTGGATGAAAATTAGTCAAACGGTACTTTAACAAAACACATTATCTATAATAAGTACTGATTGTTCATCTATCGATGGCTACTGTGTATGGCTTTGAACGCTGGGAAATAAGTGAAACATTTGTAGGCTGTGGTATTCCGGCTGTCCCAAGTATGAGCAATACCATTACGCTTCACAGTTTATTTATTCTAAGGCAGAGAAAGGAAAGCGAGTCGGTGAGTTTTGATATTCCAGTCCATTGTATTCCATTATTCAGAGGATAAAATTTGTTTGCAGAACTACCTCAAAATTCTAAACCTTTCAATGTTGTCTCACCTAGTGGTGAGCGTATCCCTGTCGTTGTTAAACAGCAGCAAGGAGGAGGCGCTGTGGCAAGGTAGCTTTTGATCATTACAAGCTTTGGAAACTGCAAATTCCTTATAACATCTCATTCTAAGAGACGATCCTCTTCGCGATACTGTTGAATGGGAATCTCCCGTCATTTTGAATCCTAACGAATTCGAGCAGATCGCAGAGGTATGGAAGTAATGTTCAATTACAGCAATGCTTTAGTGCATCCGGCTTGGGAATCCTTAATTTTTTTGAATGAAGATGTCTTCTTATGTTTTCCAAAGTTCCTGGAATGAGGTTTTTTTTTGAAGAAAAACTCTAGCAACGCTACCACAGTTTGGCAAAGCATCGATCCGCTTGCCGGCAATGATAAAGAACAAGCAAATGCGTCGCCAAAAAAGAACGAAACTCTTAAGTAAGTTGCTTGGATATCTTAAACTTGTTCCGCACCAATGCTTAATCAAACTTTATAGAGACGAACCCATTGAAGGACTATCGTCTGGGAAACGTGAAAAGTATGTTAAACAGGGTCAACTTGGACATTTCCTGTAATAAGATTTATACTTTTTAGGGACACACCTGTGGTACCGAGCGATAGCGTGTTTTCAAACGCCCTTTCACAGTATGGCGCCTTTACTGACACACGAGGAATTCTGCATAGACCTCGCAGTAGATCACCTTTCACGAAACCAGGCTAGTTCCCCCCTAGACTGCTTCCCCTCACTAAACTATGCATCCATATAATAGTAATCTGCTTTCTTAAGAATATTG